TGGTTTAGGACACCTTGGATCATTTGATCCTGGGTAGCAAACTGGTGATGGAGTAGTTGGTGGTAATGTTGGTTTAGGACATCTTGGGTCATTTGATCCTGGGTAACAGACTGGTGGTGCTGGTGTTGAAGGTAATGGGTAGTATGTTGGTGGTGGAGATGGTTTTGGACATCTTGGATCAGTTGAACCTGGGTAACAAACTGGTGCTGGGGTAGTAGGTGGCAATGTTGGTTTTGGACATCTTGGGTCGTTTGATCCAGGATAACATACTGGTGGTGCTGGTGTTGAAGGTGATGGATAGTACGTTGGTGGCGGAGATGGCTTAGGACACCTTGGGTCATTTGATCCGGGATAGCAAACTGGTGCTGGAGTGGTTGACGGTGGTGTTGGTTTTGGACATCTTGGGTCGTTTGATCCTGGGTAACAGACTGGTGGTGCTGGTGTTGATGGAGTTGGATAAGATGTAGGAGGTGGTGATGGTTTAGGACACCTTGGGTCATTTGATCCTGGATAGCAAACTGGCGCTGGAGTGGTTGACGGTGGTGTTGGTTTTGGACATCTTAGGTCGTTTGATCCAGGATAACATACTGGTGGTGCTGGTGTTGAAGGTGATGGGTAGTATGTTGGTGGTGGAGATGGTTTTGGACATCTTGGATCAGTTGAACCTGGGTAACAAACTGGTGCTGGGGTAGTAGGTGGCAATGTTGGTTTTGGACATCTTGGGTCGTTTGATCCAGGATAACAGACTGGTGGTGCTGGTGTTGAAGGTGATGGGTAGTATGTTGGTGGTGGAGATGGTTTTGGACATCTTGGGTCGTTTGATCCTGGGTAACAGATTGGTGGGGCCGGTGTTGATGGAGTTGGATAAGATGTAGGAGGGGGTGGTGGTTTAGGACACCTGGGGTCATTGGATCCTGGGTAACAAACTGGTGCTAGAGTAGTTGACGGTGGTGTTGGTTTTGGACATCTTGGGTCATTGGATCCTGGGTAACATACAGGTGGTGCTGGTGTAGATGGATATGGGTAAAAAGCAGGGGGTGGTGATGGTTTTGAACAACTCGGATCATTTGACCCTGGGTAACAAACTGGTGCTGGAGTAGTTGACGGTGGTGTTGGTTTTGGACATCTTGGGTCGTTTGATCCTGGATAACATACAGGTGGTGCTGGTGTAGATGGCGGTGGATAGTACGTTGGTGGCGGAGATGGTTTAGGACACCTTGGGTCATTTGATCCAGGATAGCAAACTGGTGCTGGAGTGGTTGACGGTGGTGTTGGTTTTGGACATCTTGGGTCGTTTGATCCTGGATAACATACAGGTGCGTAGATGGCGGTGGAGGTACGTTGGTGGCGGAGATGGCTTAGGACACCTTGGGTCATTTGATCCGGGATAGCAAACTGGTGCTGGAGTGGTTGACGGTGGTGTTGGTTTTGGACATCTTGGGTCATTGGATCCTGGGTAACATACAGGTGGTGCTGGTGTAGATGGCGGTGGATAGTACGTTGGTGGCGGAGATGGCTTAGGACACCTTGGGTCATTTGATCCGGGATAGCAAACTGGTGCTGGAGTGGTTGACGGTGGTGTTGGTTTTGGACATCTTGGGTCGTTTGATCCTGGGTAACAGACTGGTGGGGCCGGTGTTGATGGAGTGGGATAAGATGTAGGAGGTGGTGATGGTTTAGGACACCTTGGGTCATTTGATCCTGGATAGCAAACTGGCGCTGGAGTGGTTGACGGTGGTGTTGGTTTTGGACATCTTGGGTCGTTTGATCCAGGATAACATACTGGTGGTGCTGGTGTTGATGGTGAAGGATAGTATGTTGGAGGTGGCGATGGTTTAGGACACCTTGGATCATTTGATCCCGGATAACATACAGGTGGAGCAGGCGTGGATGGAATTGGATAAGTTGTGGGAGGCGGAGATGGTTTTGGACATCTAGGATCAGTTGATCCTGGGTAACAAATTGGTACTGGAGTTGTTGAATAATTTGGTAAGGTTGATTGACATTTTTCTTCTGGACAATTTCCCAAGCATAACTATAATATCATTTAAATTATTACCTTGTTAATCTAACTAAATATGGAAGTTTAAGTTCTTACTTCAACATTACAAGTGAGGTATACTTGGTGTTTGTCTGGGAATTTGAATGCTGTGACATTCGTGTATCCAATTGTTGTTATACCACTTTGATCAACTTTTTGGGTTTTTTTCCAGTGTGATATCAATTTTTTTCTCCTAAAAAATTATTTATATTTATTTATGTTATTTACTCCATTTGTTCATTATTACTCTCTATTTTTATATAGATTTTTTTACTTAGATTCTTTTCTATTTTAATTTCATATTTATATTCTCTTTGGACACCCTGATGAATCTGTTAATTGTATACTTGTAGTAGTTGACGATTCATAATTATCATCATCATATGCCCAACATTCTCTTACTCTAACATCGTAAGCTTCATCAGTACTTTTTACATATACAATTAAAGAAAGCGATTCACCAATTTTTATAATTTTGTCAACTGGTGATATCTATAAAAAATAGATTTCTATTACAAATCTTTTTTATCTTTTTATTATTTTCTAACTTACATTTGGATATTGACCTCTTTGTATATCCATCCAACATTGTAATGTTCCTTCATTCCCGGAAGGAACAGAAACAACTTCTAACATATCAACTACAATAGGCTTGAATCGCACTCGTTTACCTGTACCTGGTTTTGTTTCTGATGGACATGAGACTTTTCGTGCTAAATCCCATTCTTCCTAAAAAAATAAAATAATAATTTTAAATAGGTTTTTGATAAATATAAAAAAAAGTTGTTCATACAATAAATTAAATTTTTAAAATTAATTTTTTTTAGATTGTTAATACTGAAATTTAAATATCTAATAGGTTACCTGGATTGTGCTATCTGTCTGGATGATTATTGTGTTTTCAATAGAACCTAAGTCACAGCCACCACCATCTTCGGTAGATGAACAACCCTCATTTACAGGAGGACGACAATCTTCTATCGGTATAAGGAACTGATATGAGTATTGTCCTGAATCACTTTGCACAAATCTACAAACAAAATATTCTTTTTATTAGCACTTTATTAAACTTTGATTTTTATATATAATTTTAAATGTATTAATTTAATGTTTACATTATTGTATTTTTAACTTAATTATAAGTTATATCTTTCATGATATATATATATATATATTCCTTCATGCATCGTGATTACCCATAGAATAAAAAGACAAATACTCGATGCACTTATTTAAATTCCAAATTTATAATACGACTAAGTTTTTTGATTTTTTATAATGTATAAAATAGATATATTATTTGTAATTTGAATACAATTATGCTACTAAAATTACCCCTCCCACATTCAAAAATAAACTTTAGTACCTTTGATAATAAGTTAACTTATAAAATATTCCATTTTTTTTTACTAATACTTTATACATAAAGATAATTTTAACTGTAATTAAAGATATTAGGAACAACATTGAAAACTATCAACATACTATTTTGTTTTAGTAAATCGAATCGAATTGTATAAATACCAATTATAATAAATAAAAAATTCACAATCAAATGTATTTTTGATTAAATTTAAGAATATAATAATATAAATATTATTATTTAATGTGTATTAGCTGGTATTCCTGTCAAAAATGTAAGTAAAATTTAAATCTATTTATTTGCTAGTATACTTTCAAATAAAAAAAATTTGGTTAAAAATTAATATTAGATAGAAAATAAAGATACAAGATAGTGATTTTATTCGAGATGTTAGCTTTTTGTGTATTCAACTGGAAATAACATTATTTTATAGAGTAAAAGTAATCAATTCTACAATACGATTATTATAAGTTTACATATAATGTATCATTTGAAACATTAAAAACACATCTTTGTTGGGATGGAAGCATGTGTAATAAAAGTAAATATGGATTTAAAATGGTAAAAATATGATCAGATAATATAGCTTAATATAAATGATTTCCAATCCAATGTTATACAGTTTTATTTTTTTTTTTTTTACATAGGAATGTAAAATGAATTTTCCATAATTTATTTTATATTATTATTTACTTGATGTATATAGATATATTTAATTTCAGTAGACAATTATTGCAAAAAATAAAAACTAATAACTTATAACTTTATAATATTTTATATTGAGGCGTAGTGAACATAGTTAACTAAAATTTAAGCTTGGGTTACATACGATAAACTTAATACTGACAAATGTTAAAACTTATTAATAATTTAAAAGAACCTATTGCCAGATAATTTATGAAAATAAAATTAATTTACCTACAGGACTGCATAAAATACATTCGTTTTTTAAAATATCGATGACATACGTCGTAAAATTTATATTTTATAATTATTTATTCATGTCATTAGCTGTATAACAATACATGCATTAGTTGATTAAAAGATAAATATTATTAAAAAAAACATTAATAATGAAATTAATTTTTTAGTAAAATATAAAACTATAATTCAATAAAATAACAAATATTGTGTAAAATTTTGTTGATTCATAATGAAACAGAAATCGTGTGAGAACTTTAGGTTAATATTGTATTAAAGAATGGCATTATATTCTTTCTCCTTCCCCCATGTTTCCGATGATCAGTAAAGAACTTAAGTCGTGCACTCACCTACATTTGGGATCATCGTGTCGACCTTTGCTGTAGATCACGCCGTTAAACGGTTCCAGAAATTCAATTTCCACTGCTATTACACCGTCCACTGATGCAGCTCCACAGTCTACACGAATTCCCTTGAGTTGCACCCTGTGTTCAACACCGTTTTCATGTCCGTAATCGCTCTGGCGCACGAACCGATCGGTCATGGCGGAATTCATCATTATCACACCAGAATCATCTTGGCTGGGGTCCACGCCAACGTCAAGCAGCAATTTGTCAGCCTATAAAGCAAGCGTATCGTAATATTAATAATTAGTCACTTATTAAAAAAAAATAAAAAATGTTGTCGTTAAATACAGCTAAAAAAAAAAAAAAATGGTAAGAAACCAATTATTATTAATAATTATTTTTCATTGCGAAAATACAATAATACGGTGTTGAGAAAAATAACCGTTGGATAAATTCGTCTCTTAAATTTGATTATAAATATTATAACATAATATTATAGTATTAACAAGTGCACCTTAGTAGTCGAAAAATCGATTTAATAACTTTTTGCATTTATTTATGCAATCTTTACAAAATGAAGATATCGTATTATTTTCTTTTACCAATAGACTGGTGTTTTTGTAAAATACATAGATATTATTTAACACATTTTATTCAATTTATCAAAATTATTTAAGCTTTTAACTATAACATTCTTTTGAATAGTATGTATATACTATATATATTATATTTTTATGTACAAATTGTTTGTTTAAGATTACCATGTACACATTTTTCAGATAGTTAATTGGCAAATAAATTGTTACAATAAATTATTAAAAAACTATGGCAATTAATATAAAGATCAAAAATTGTTTGGTCGACATATTTATAAAATATCGCTTTAATTTTAGTCCTCTTCATTATTTATTGTCAGAATTTGTATTGTGAATATAACATAATAAAATATTCTGTAATCAAAAAATTACAGTTTAACAAGTATGAATTAAAGTAACCTTATATCATATACGCGTAATGTTAAGAAATTTACAAAAAAACTATATTATCTTTTATCTTTAACTGTATATAATTATACGTAGTTTAAAATATTAACCATTTTTGGTCAAGTTTTCATGTTGAACAACTCATAATGTATTGCATTATAGTCGACGTTAGACGCAAAACGATTACCGTTTTCTCAAATGGATATGTTTGTCGAAATTATAATAATAGAGAAAACTTTAAATACATACATATTCTAATACACCTTCAATACAAATAATACAAATTTTCCGAACTAAATATAAGATAACGAATAATAAGAACTTGACAACCAATGATATATAACCATATCATAATCCCAAAGTAGATATTGACAAAAAAAAATATATGAATAATGCATTTAGATTACATAATTGACCTATTAACTTGTTTATTGTAGTATTTAATATTGTAAATTATGCATTAAACTTTCACGTCATTAAATCAGAAATAGCAATCCAATAATGTATTTAAATAAAATATAATTACAATAATTATGTTTAAACATTTTTTTTTGAAGAACAATTCAATTTTTCGAAACCTACTAACAGATCAGTCAGATTAATATGTATCTAGTAGACTCATACCATTTGTATTATTTTTATTACTATATGAGTACTGCGGTCTGCCTACGGAAGCAGCACATGGAGACTCGTAATGTCGTAATAGATCCATCAGACTAAAAAACAACGTTATGATAATATTATGTTACATGTACATTATTGTTAGTAAGTAAGCAGTGAAACATAACACGACGTTAAAGAATCGTTTGACGGCGACGGCGTAGGCGTCGACAAATGATGGACGGGAATGTATACACTTGAACTGCAGTACGATTCTGGCGATGATAATAATACAATATCTATGTACATAGATTATACCTACATAATACGGGTGACTGAAAAACAAACTGATATAATCGTTATAATATATGACACCGCAGTAAGATAATAATATTATAATCGTGTATCGACTATCAATATAAGATAATCGTTCGAAACAAAAAAAAAAAGGGGGGGAGGGGGAAAACAACGGCAGCCGATGGTGGCGACGACGACGAATAATATCAATACATCTATACATATATAGGTACATCATACAGTCACCCACGTATATCAAATATATTGTTTCCGGTCGTGGAGAAAGCGCCGACGCGCGACGGTAAGGATCAAAGGTATATTATGGTCTCCAGTCTTCACCTATTCCTCCATCGTTCCCCACCATCATTCGCGCCGAAGATCAACGCATTATTATCGTGGAGAAATAGAGGGTAAAAGAATTGCTCATTTATAACCAGCAGTACATAATATAGTTCTTCGCACGACGCGCCAATGTACATATTATACACGTGTATTTGTGGAAAGGAAAAGTGCGGCGGTGTAGAGGTTTAAAACTCTTCCAGTCCGGTTCGGGTCAAAGGCCGTACGTACAGCGTTATTACAAAAATGTTGTGTGTGTGTATGTGTAAGTGAATGCGTATAATATTATATACACGATAAAACGTGAAAGGAACACGACGGCGCGGCAATGTCGGCAACGGCATAATAATAATAGCAGACGTATAAAATAATGTTCATTCGAGACTTTTTCAAACGATCGACAGTGAATATAACGAGACGAATTTTTATTTATTTATTATTAATATTCCACCGGCTATTAAATCGCTATGGCCACCATGTCTCGCCGGGGGCACCGTAGACGCACGCGTGACGCGATTTGCGCGCGAGAGAGGCTGTGAACCCGCATCGCCACCGATGAAGCTTATAATAATACAAACCCATCTGCGAAATAATAATTCAAAAATACCCGTCTCTTTCGGGATGATACTTTGACCTCGAGTCGGTGACCATGTGAGATTACATGTACTCAATGTTGATAAAAAAATATGCACGATTACACGTAGGTTTAACTTAATAACGAAATAATATTATACAAAATAATACGCGTGTAAAACAAGACTTCGCAGCCTGCAGGTAGCGCAATAATATGTGAGAAGATGCTGCACGATTAAATAATATTAGTCATTGATAAATTTAATATGGCGATCGACGAGCAAGCGTATTAATACTGCAATGTAACACTGCTCATACTACTTAACAAATGTTTAATTTTAAACCGGTTGTATATAATAATATATAATAAAATATGTATAATATTATGTGTATGCGTGTTTGTATGTGTGTGTGTGTGTGTATGTGCGTGTGCGTGTATGTGTACATTATCAACCGCGTGCAAATTGAATGGTTTTGAAACGAAGAAATGAACGTCAAAAACGTACGTAAATATTGTGACTGTATGTGTCAACATTGACAGCGATAAGTCTCGATTTTCGTTATAACATAGTATAAAATCTTAATTAGAATAATTATTCAACGTTCTCTAAACACGTGTCGTTAGAAGTGTTAACTCGAAACATTAAATTGGAAATTAAATCATTTTTTTTTCTTTTTTTTTTTATTAAAATTTTAAGCAAGCTATAATCATCGTCGATAATTTACTGCAGTTTGGGTTTTTTCCGATGGAAAATAATATCTATTAATAAACATACCTAACCCAAAAGAACATATTTTTCTCCTCCCGAGACAACTTTGTCGTGACACAATTTGTAAAAAAACTAAATATGTTTAAGGAATGAAATTTTGTTTTAGGAAACGTTTCACAATTTTAAACGCAAGTAATACCTTTAAATTTGCTAGACTTTTGCACTCCTCTGCAAACCAGTCAATGGTTATTGATTAGTGATTTCATACAGAAATAGTTTATCACACATTTTGATATCTAATTAACTTAAACGAATATTCCCCAATTAACACAAAAAATTAAATTTGTATATTGTATATAGATTTATTAGATATTATAGATTTTATTTATATTATTAAATAATTACAAAAAATCACTGGTTATGCTCGAACTGATGACCATCTTTTTCGATGCAACTGCGGAAACAAGAGCCCACAGAACGGCATGTGCCGACTTATTCCGCACCCTATATATATATATCAATTAACATATAAAAATGGTGCATATGTATCTTTAAATTTAACCACGAACCATTTTTAAAGGATTTAATTTCCAGCTACTTTTTGAGCTTTCAACAGGAATCAGTCTAGTTTATATTATTAGGATATTTTATATAAAAAAAAAATTACAACAGTTGTAATTATTACTATTAATATTTTTTAATACCCTTGTCGTCTGAACATTATTTATAATGTTCACATAATATTTTATATCGAAATTACAGACCTATTTTAATTAATCCTTCAATAAGATTTTTTACGACAATAATAGCACGTTTTATGAGCATTTTTATATAGGTGTCAAATGATTTCTGCCGAATATTAAAAGTGAAACGTAGTGCATTAAGACTGTTTTGTTAACTTTCCCCACGCCAACCATTATGACAGTGCGTAATATGGACGCAAATCATGAGATTAATAAAATGTGTGTTTTATAATATCATTATAATACAGCTATCAGTGATTCTATAAAAAATTAAGTTCAATCCTTCTTAAAAAAAAAAAAAATAAATAAATCAACTATTTAGTCGTCACCATATACTAACATTTAAATAATATCGGTAATTGTAACTCCAACTTAATAATTTTTATAAACTTCAGTTTGTATAAAAATGCATGACTGCTATTAAATTAAAATTACAGTTTTTTTTTTTTTTTTTTTAACTAGTATTTAGTTTAATTATTTTTTTTATTTGAAAGTATACTAGAAATTAAATAGATTTAAATTGTACTTACATTTTTGACAGGCATACCAACTAATACACATTAAATAATAATATTTAAATAATTATATTCTTAAAGTATTAGTAAAAAAAAATGGAATATTTTAAAAGTTAACTTATTATCATAGGTACTAAAATTTATTTTTGAGTCTGGGAGGGGTAATTTTAATATTTAAATTCAAATCGCGTGAATTATTATAATTTAATATTTATTTTTTTTAATAAGAAACAATCAAAGTAATTTTTATTTAAATACAAGATTTACTAATACAAGTATACAAAAAGTAACCCATTAAAATAAAATAAAAGTCTACTTTAAAACGTTGGCTTTTCAAAATTTTTTATGGTTTTGTGGTTTTTTTTTTTTTTGTCTGTTTAACAATACCTCTTGCTAAAAAGATATTTATTATTTTTTACACACGATTGAACAAATAAAAGTACATAAAAACCAGTGAACGGGAAGAGTTATATGTATGTGTAACATATTATAAGTAATTGGATCATACAATT